CCCAAAGCGCTGGGATTACAGGCTGAGCCACGGAGCCCAGCTGTCCATGAAATTCTAGAAAGAGCAAATCTAATCTATAATGACAGAAAGCAGATCAATTTTCATCAACTTTGAGGGAGGGGGAATTATTTTTTTGGGATGATGGAAATGTTCTATATCTTGATTGTGTAAATAACCATGAAAATATACACATTTGTCAAAACTCATTTGAACTGTACATTTTAAAAGAGTGTATTTTATTTATGTAAATTATACCTCAATAAGCTTGATTTAAAAATTCATCATCACTCTAGTTTGAGAAAAATTAGAATGCTGACTGGAATAAAAGTTTATTTCAAATGATATGAGATACGATGATTAAGCATCTATAAGAGAGTTTCTAGCATTCCTTTTTGCAGTAAATTACCTATTATCACTTGAGTAAAGTATAATGTTAAAATAAGTCATTAAAAATCATTATTTTGGCCAGGTTTGATGGCTCAACCTGTAATCCCAGAACTTTGGGAGGTCGAGGTGAGTGGACCGCCTGAGCCTGCGGGTTCGAGACCAGCCTGGGCAACTTGGCGAGACCTCGTCTCTACAATAAACAAATTTTAAAAATTAGCTGGGTGTGGTAGTGCGTGCCTGTAGTTCTGGTTTCTTGGGAGGCTGAGGCAGAAGGATTGCCAGAGCCCAGCAGATTGATGCTGGACTGGCTGAGTGTGCCACTGCACTCCAGCCTGGGTGATGAAGTGGGACTCCAACTCAAAAAAGAAAAAGAAAAAGAATTATTTTGAAGAAAACATACTTTTTTTACAAAACTTCTAAGAAAAATCATACTCCTCGTGTTTTAGAAAAGGTGACAGACACACACCCATTGCCTGTGATTTTAAGAATTCTGTGACAAGGAGTATGTTAGCTTTAATTATCTCTTGTTTTACATTATCACTTGACCATTTAACCTTTTCCCAACTTTGCAGGCTCTATGAGGACATTGTGGGGATACTCTAGAACAGATGGAATACTATCAACACACCATGAGAGAAGTATGTGACAGTACATGCCATGGCTGGGAAGCTATACTAGTGCAACACAACTGGGAGATGAACCCCAAGTGGCAGACAAGGGTTTATCAACCACTGAAGTATTGCAAGCTGGAGAATCCATGACTGTTAGAAAGATCACTAGGACGGCACTCTGGGGAGTAGGATGGGAAGAATGGAAGACAGAAGAGTACAGATAAAGGGCCTCTGCTTGATGATGATAAAATAGGGGTCTTGATTTTAAAAGTGACAGTGAGGCTGAAATGAATTAGATGTTTTGACAGTATTTAGAAGGCAGAATCAGTGGTGTTAGAGGTGAAGGAGAATTCTAGAATAACTTTTGACTTGGATGTTCCATTTGAGTAATTGTGCCATCCACCAAAATGAAGAACACAAAAAGGAAAAGCAGGTTTGGGGAGAAAGATGATGACTTCATGTCTGCACATAATGAGTCTGAGGCACCTGTATATATCCAAGGGAAAGTATCCATCAAGCCAGGTGAATATGCAGATGTCAGATTGATCTGGGCTGGAGTCAGAGATCAGATAGCTAAATTACAAAATGAGAGAAGAGATAAAAATGGAACTCCGGAGAACCCCAATAGTTTCATTGAGTAGGCAGAAGAAGAGCATAAAAGAGTGATGGGAAGTTACACTCAGGGTCAAAGAGGGCAAATACAATGAGTTCTTTGACAGTGGAAGTGGTCAGCAACCATCAAATGCTGAAAAGTCATCAAGCAACAGAAGAGAAATATCCTTCTCAAGTACGAAGTCACTGATGACCTTTTTCAAGAGCAGTTCCAAAAGAATACTGAAGACAAAGCCAGAACACAGTGCTCTGAGGAAAAAGTTGAGACAGGCATTGTGCACTATTATTTAACTATCTCCTATTCTACATTATCACCTGACCATCTAAACTCTTCCAAACTTTTCATATTCTGTGAGAGTGTTCTGGGGATACTCTAGAATAGATGGAATATTATCAACACAACACAGAAGGAGAGTGTGACAGCACATGCCATGGCTGGGAGGGTTATGAAAGGAAGATGAACATCTGATTAATAACAGAGGGGAGACAATTTTAAGGAAGAGATCTGTTTGTTCTTACAGTGTGGCTTGGGCCTGTTTATCTGCTGATGTAGCAAGATAGATGGGGGGGTAAGGAGGGTGACAGTAAAGGTGTCAAAGGGAACGTTGCGGGCTTCACAGTGGATGTAGTGGTGGCACTAATCTTGGACATGAGGAAGGCCTTCTTCTTCATGAATTGAAAGGGAAAGTTTCATGTGCATATAGATAAGTCGTTGGTTTGGTGGGTAGGTGATGAGGAGCAGATAAACTTAATGAAGTGCCAATTAAAATGTGAGATCCTATGTTGAGAGGGCAGGGAGCTGATTATGTGAATTTAAAGAAAGCAGTTAAGGTTGGAAAAGGTACTGATGAGAATGGAAGAGCTTTAATATCTCAGTAGTATAATTAGGGCTTCTTTTTTAAATTAATCAATGCATGTGGAAATATGTTACAATGATTGTCACATAAAGAAATTCTGAATACATATTGCTTTCCATAAAACAATAATTCTTGGCTTCCATGTGGGAGGAACACTTCTAGCTGCCTCCTGAGGAATACATGATCTTCGAATTCTTCTCATGGCAGTGGTAATGGATTTTTAATGCCCAACACATTTGTGCGATCATTGTAAGGATTAAGAATGGAAGCTCTGGCCTGGAAGGATTTTCCTTCAATGTTAAACTAACTGACCTAATCTAAGAGTCAAACTCCAAAAATCTTAGCATATTGGCATTAGCCACTGCCACGTTTACATATGACAGCTTTCTATTTTAAACTAAGATCTATGATCTATCTTTACAATTTTAAATTGTAAGCTACACCTTTCATGTCAAATTTTCCAAAGGCTTGCATAACAAGCATCTGAAAAAATCTCATAAATGCTCCCTAGTGGGGAAACGCACATGCAACTACCTGTTTATATATGCAGTAACTTGAATTATACATGAAAATTCCACATGGATGCCCAGAATCAGCACTGTGTTAATTCAAGAAGTATATTAATTTTTTTGGATGTATTTAGTAGCAGATCATATGAAAAATCTGTTCTTTAAACTGAGTTTTCTTTAAAAAAAAAATCTGCTAGTTGGAAACTTCTATTTCAAGGAATCTACTCTTCCCAGGAAAAATAATTTGTAATAAATATTAATCTTATATATTAAAAATGAGAAACAAAACTTTTTTAAAAATCCTTGGAAATTCCATATTCAGATCTTTGAAAGAGTATATAAGACTATACAATTTTCCTATGCTATAAAACCGAATAGTAATATTGTAAATAAATTTTAAATGATAAACGTCAGTTGCAAAAGTTATCACCTTTTCATTTGAATGCTTGACTTCTATTGGATAATTTTCTTCCAAGAGACCTTCTTGGGAAAAAGAGGTGACAGCCAACTCATTGCCTAATTGATTTAGGAACAGTGCCCAGGGAGACAGTCCAATTAAGTTTACAAGCTGGCAATTAGCAGGAAGCCCTCTAAATCCCTACACTGAGAGCCTGTTTACTTTAGTAAGAAGGCAAATGTGCTAGAGATAGGAAGAGAAAGCTGTGCTTTTTGCAAAGCTGTTGTGAGTAGGCCCACAAGGGAGGGCTGAAGAAAAGTTAGGTGTACATGGGCAGACAGCCTTCTGTTTGACAGGTAACTGAGTAATTTAAAGGGTGAAAGGAGAGACTGAGAGAGAGAGACAGGGAGAGAAAGAGAGAGAGTATGCCGCATGTGTGCGTGTGTGTGTGCGTGTGTATGTGTTTTAACAGACATGCAAAACATCAAACATCCACTTTAATTAGTGTTGTGTATGGAGACATACAACTGTTAAACATGTAGTTGGGCAAAGTATAACTGGATTATCTCATAATAAATGAGATTCCAAACATTTTTTCTTCAACAATATTAACATTATGAATAGATTTAGCTGCATTTTCATTATATGGAAAGAACACCACAGGCTGCATATTATATGCATTATATCTTTCATATTAGTCAAGTTATCTTTACTAGATGTATTTCATGTGTTTAATTTTCAAGAGACGTAGATCTATTTTTTTAAAAGTAAATTAAAATCAATTTAACAAACACTACAATGCCTTTAAAAGCCTAACTTTGTACTACAGAGCCAAATCCTGTAAGGGGTTTTAAAACATATTTACTTTTCAAGTTGCCATAACATATATTAACTTTAAAAACTTTTTTAAACCTAAGTGAGGTTCTCTCAAGAATGTTAAATTACAGAAATCTATCTAGAGTATATCATACATTTTGGGGCATAGCTGGTAAGGCAAAACTACAAAAGGCAAATGAATTATCATAATAAAATTTCATTGTAAAGTCTTGGGATTGAAATGGGCTGCATTATATAATTAATGTATAATATCTATCCTCTTAAATATTTTTATCCAAAGGGAAACAAAAACTAAGTTATAAAATATCTTCAGCAAATTCTAAAATATCTTCAGCTTTCTTGTCTTTTAAAACACTTGCTTCACATAATTCCAACCTGGGAAGCAAAAGACACCAACAGCCTGAAAGAATTTAGATAGAGTATTTCATTTCAATGACATAATTTTTCAATGGACAAAGTAAGTACTTCTTAAATATTCACATATCTATTTCTTAAAGAATTTTTTAGCAGGACAGTTTATTTCAGAGAGTACCAAATTTGAAAGTTACAGCTTTTTAATCATCATGATTGACAACTAGTATAATTTGAGTTCTTCAATATCTTAATGTTCCTTTGAAAGTTAGAAAACCATCCACAAAGGCTTTTAAAGGAAACTATATGAAATTTTTGAAAGGCAAACATTTATAGGATGACAAGCAGAAAAAAAACCTATATTCCAAAAATAGCTTTATTGCCTTAATTAAGTCACCACTATAAACACTTTAATTACTTACCACCTTCCTTGACTTACCAAGTTTAAACAAAAGCACACCCAAAGGTCCTCTGTCAAACCTGAGGAAGAGGAGATCACAGATGTTGCCACTTCTAGGCTTCTGAGAGACAATCGGAGGAGCTGTCCACTGCATTTGAACAAGACTGCTGGAAGCATCAAAGGATTTATTGAACTGCAGAGTCTCCCTGGGTAAGCGGTCTTCAGCCAAGAGCTGGATGTTAATAGGTGATAGAGCCATATCAAAAATTTGCAACTCGCCTTGGTTGCTGCCAACTAGCAGAATGGCACCACTTGGGTGGCAGCTTATTAATGAAGGCAAAAGTTCAGCCTGAGCTAAGAGAGTTATTCTACGGTGAGTTTCATAAAGAATTACTGAAGAATCTTCACATCCTAAAATCAGTTTGTCTTCAGTAACATTTCTACAGCAGCTGATGGCCTTCGATCTTAGTGGTATTCTGGTGACTGACACACACTGGATTTTGTTCCGAATACATTCATAGATGCAGCTGTCAACCATGGGCTCTTTGTCTACACTGGTGGAGTGCTCCACTGTAAACACCTGATAAGGTTGTTTGATACCAAAGCAAACATCCAGTGGGTCCCATTCTGTACGGACGGAACTCAGAACCTGTAACAGATATATCAATCACATTCAACTAGAGCTGTCACAGAGCTGTATAATAGGCCTGCATATTAATTCAGAAACCTAATAAAAACCATCAATTACTACCTTAAATATCAGCAACATATAACTATATAAGTGTATGTATAGCACATATATCTCATATAGAACACATATATATATATAAGTATAGTTTCAAGAATTAAACTATAAGATTTTAACTTAAACACTTTGCTTTAGAAAGCCTGTAAACCACTTATATGTGTCCCATAATATATAAAAACAATATATAAAAACTAATATGGTCAGATGTTACTAATAAGATATGGTTAGTGGAATATCTAAAAAAGTTAGAAGTTAGAAAGAATGAATAAAAGACTTAAAACAATTAGTTACACTCTTACCCACCACCCTTCCCAATTCTGAAATTATTAGTAAATTAATTACCAGAAACATATTTCTGATTAGTAGGCATGGACAGGCAAAAGAAAAAAACTTTAAAACTCTATTAGTCTTATAGAAATATTTTCTTACCAGAAAGGATATGAAGAAATGCTAAGTAGACAAATGACTGAGAAAAACAAATAATCTAATGTACTAGTTTTAAAATAAAAATTTTTTAAATGAAGACCTAGTAAATTGCCCTTTGACCAACACAGGTTTAAACTGTGATATTACAGTTACATACACATTTAAAACATAGATCAAAAATACAGTATTCCTGGGATGCAAAACCAGGGGCAAGCATAAGCAGATTTTGGTATGCTAGATTTTGATATATTAGGCTGATGTGCAAACAGGGTTCTGAAACCAATCTTCCATGTATACTGATGAACAACTGCAATATGATTTGTCAGTATTGAAGAAAATTTTAAAAAACATCTTTGGTGTAGAAAGAAGATGCTACCTACCTGCATGAAACACAAATGCAGAAAAACCATCAAACAAAACAATAGGCCAGTCACTTTATTCATATGTAAATGATGGAAGCCCCAAAATCAGGAGAGTGGTATTAAAGAGAATATTGTCTAATACTTTGCCAAAAACTTCAAAATCAAACCTAGAAACATTAAATAACACATATCTACACATGTGATAAAATTTTATAGAACTATACACCAAAAATTTTAAAAAGGTGCATGTAAAATCTAAGGAAATCTGACTAAGGTCTATACCTGAGTTAATAGTATTGTACCAAGATCATTTTCGTGTATTTGACAATGTATTGCACTAATGTAAGATATTATCATTGGGGGAAACTGGGGTAAAACTACATGTAGAGAATTTGCTGTACTATTTTAGCACTTTCTTGTGAGTCAAACTATTTTAAGATTACAAGTTGTTTTTTAAAAAAGCACATATAACTATGTTACAGAATGCTGGATTTGGGAAGGGAAGAGGAGTTATATGACTTTTTAAAAAAATCTATCTGACACATCATCACCAAATTAAACTAAATGCTTTTTGCTTTCATTCCCCTGATCAAACTCTTTAATGACCATCTACTAATTAATGTGTTAAATTTTTATTCCTTTGCCTAGAACACAAAATCTTGTAGGACCCATATCCAGCTCCTTCCCTCCCTCACACCCTTTTTCTTGCTCTCATTTTCTTTTTTGTCCAATGAATATTTGAGTACGAGTTACCTGCCAGGCAATGGTCCTGAGTGCTGGGAATACAGTAATGAGTAAATTTTCTTCCTCAGGAGGCATACACTTGCAGGGGAGAAAAAAGTAATATCTTTTCCTCACCCATCACAAGGTTCATAGCCTCCATACATAAAACAAAAGCCAGATTAACAAGAGAAAAGCTTAACAAATGTATTTAACCAAGGTTTTACAAGACAAAGGAACCCAGTGACTCAGGAAAAACTGTCTACTTTCTGCTTAGTTTTGATGAAGAATGGTTGGTCATGTAGAAATATGACTGGACAAAAAGTAGGTATGATCTAATGGAACTGGAACTGAAGGGAACTTAACAAGGTCTGTTTGTTCAGATTTTTCTTTGTGTCTCTGTCTTCATTTCTTTCCTCCAAATAAAGGGCAGGGAACTTGTTATATGAGGTGCTTATGACCTACTTTCAGGGAATGCAGGTCAGAGAATTATTTTTATGGCCTTAAAGGAGAAAAATGAAAGGTGGTCAGAGAAAGAAAAGATTAAAAAAGACCTTTCTGCTTCTGTAATTTTCTCAATTACCTTCAGCTTAAAATGCTCAGTATGCCAAGGTACCATATTTTAGTGTAGTGTTTTCTACACTCCACCACATCCCAATAGCACAAGAGAAGGCAAGAATTAATAAGTATACATATATAGGCATCCTATAAAAGTATTTGCTAAAAATGGTAGAGTAAAATAAAGCAAAGTAAGGAGAACAGGGAATGACTAGAGTGAGAAGGAGGAAGTATGACACAGAGAGGTCAGGACAGGCATCTCTGATAAAGGTAACCTGAAAGAGGGGTGATCCATGCAGCCTTGTGAGAAAAGAGAGCTGCAGGCAGAGGAAATGAACCCTGAGATAGAAGCTCTATTGGCCAGAACAAGGAGATTAATATGACTAGAGAAGGGGAAGCAAGGAAGAAAGTCATGGGAAATGGGAATTGGAGGAAAAGGGAAATAGTATGTAGTAGTTTGTAGGTCAATAGGGACTTCAACTTTTCTTTCTAAATTTCATGGGAAGCTATAAGTTCTGAACAAAGGAGGAACATGATCTGACTTGCAAATTCCAGTATTACCTCCCCTCCAGGACGTTTCTGGGAGTTCAAACTAAAGCTTGTCCCACATTTTCCCAGCTATATAACTTCACTCATATCGCTTGCCTGAAATGCACTCTTCACCTAGAAACTCAGTTTTTCCTAACAACCATACTTACCAATCATACTTACTTACATACTAGACCAAAAGTATCCCAGTTTCTTGGATTCCTTCCAGTTGGGTGGCATTTTTCCTTCCTTTAATCCCATCTCCATAACCCCTTCCCAGCCCCAACTTGGCCAATGCCTCACTTGTAATATTCAGTCTTCTATCTGCTTCTGAGGTTTAGTCACATGTCCTCATTTTCACAGTAAGCTTAAAAAATAAACTGTTTCAGGTATTTTACATTTTATTATACCTATGTAGCAGCTAGCCAAACGCTGTGTGGGTAGGAATTATGTGATAAATGTCTTAAAACTATAAATTAAAAAACAAACTCTGCAATACTGGTTAAAATACCATACTTCCAGAAAGCTTAAACTGTTATAAAGGAAGCTGTAAAACATATCATTGCAAGGCCAGGTGACACTGAGTAGAACCTATACTCACATAGAGGTTGCCTAAAAAAGGAGGGGCCCAGCCAGATGGCAATCTTGGCCTAGAACAAATTAGGTTCACAATCCAGGGAGAAGAGTCCCAGGCTTCCTTGTTTCCAAGAGTTTGTGAGACTTCTCTAATAGGCTCAGCAATGTCACCGAGAGAGGGATGAAAGAGGGGAGTGAGACCAATAGCTACATGTACCCCCTTTCTCCAGCTACCAGTCCCAGATTACTCTGAAAAGCTAGTCAAGATCAAAGGATCACTTGCTGTCTTTCCAACGAATTGCCCACATGATGATCGATGGCTAATATTCATTTAACAGAGGAAAGTGACTTGCACAGTACAATTAAAGATTCCATAAAAGTTAAAAGATTAAAAAATGCTTGAGTATGCATAAGTTTCAGTAAAGAGTAAACCCACCAATAATAATAATAATAAGCAGGAAAGCCGGACACGGTGGTTCATGCTTGTAATCCCAGCACTTTGGGAGGTGGAGGAGAGAGGATTGCCTGAGCCCAGAATTTGAGACCAAGTCTGGGCAACTTGGTGAGACCTTGCCTCTACAGTAAATTAAAAAATTAGCAGGGCATGGTGGCACATAACTGTAATTCTAACTACTTGGAAAGCTGAGGCAGAAGCATTGCCTGAGCCCAGGCAGGTCGAGGCTGTGGTAGCCGTGTGTGCCACTGCACTCTAGCATAGGCCACAGAGTGAGACTCCAACTCAAAAGTACAAAATAAAATAATAAGCAAGAAAATATGATGATGTGCAAATCACTTTTCATATATTGTCTTGTTTAATCTTTTCAATATCCCCAAGTGAGGTATTACAATTGAGAGATAAGGAAAATGAGGGTAGGAGAGACGCCATAAGTTGTTCTTGGTCCCGACATTAATAAGTGATAGAGCTGCAGTTTGAATCCAGGTCTGTTCAACTCTAAAAATCAAGGTCTCTGCAGGACATGCTGCCTGTCAAGCATAATTAATAAGGTTACATGACTATATCAGCTTTTCCTATATATGTTCAGAGAGAGGGAATGAGAGCCACAGGGCATTGGGAGCCTTAAGTGTGACGGAGGAAAGAAGAGAGAAAAAGGTGAAGAAACAGAAGAGAGAAATTATGCAGTGGAACTTGTTAATTTGGGGGTAGAAAAAAAGAAGCTTGTGCTAGCTACTTTTGTCAAGTAGTTAATAATGTAGGCAACTTTGCTTTCCATAATTGAAGAAGTTTGGAAGGGGAAGTTTTTTTGTTGTTGCTTTTTGAGCAGGGTCTCACTCTGTCATTTAAGCTGGAGTGCAGTGGCAAAATCATGGCCCACCACAGCCTTGACTTCCTGGGTTCTGGCAATCCTTCCACCTCAGCTTCCCAGGTAGCTGGGACTATAGGTACACATCACAGTGCCTAGCAAATTTTTGTGTTTTTTGTGGAGATGAGTTCTTGCTTTGTTTCCTAGACTGGTCTCAAATTCCTGGGCTCGAGCAATCCTACCTCAGCCTCCCAAAGTGGGTGAGCAGAAGGGAAGTTCTTACTAAGCTGACTTCTTTTAAAGCTGCTTCATTCTTGGACTGACTGATTTGTACTGAAAATTAAGAGAATGCTTTGTAAATAGAAATAGAAAAACATTCCTAAATGAACCAAAAAAAGCTAAATTATCTTCTCAAAACAAAAATTATACAAGTACAAAATATTATGCTAGTTTTGCATCTGTCCATATA